TACGGTGGCCGAGAAGTGTCACAATTCTCACAATTCTGAAAACAAAATAACAAATTACAAACGCAAATGCAAGTCTAAAAAACAAAATGAAAACATTAGAAGAGGTAGGTATAGTTTGAGACAGCGCCATTGGTTTGGGATTACTCACCGCTGACTGGACGAGACATCTGTCAATCAACGTATACAGGAAGAACCAGCCGAAGAACAGCAGAGTTGTGGTAGAAAGTTCGGAGATGGTATTAAAGTAGCTCCGTTTAAATGTATTGTATGAATTGCCCTTACTATGGAATAAAAAATACGGGGTGTCTATTTACATTTAGTTAAAAGTGGCTGTAAATCATCAGCTCCAGTGGCGCAGATAGATAAGCGCGTGTCGTTGGCTTTTTGACGCGATCGACCCGGGTTTGATCCTGTCTTTTGCCGAACTTTTTTTTCCTCCATTTTCAAATCTTGTATTAGCAATGGATTCTATTTACACTATGTTAAAATAGCAGGATTTCTACTATCAAGTATACTACTTGTTGCAAATAGTGGCAATTATCTGCACTTCAGTATTGTAGTACATTATAAAACAGTATGCAATAATAACGAATCCATTGCTAATACGAGATTTGAAAAGGGAGGAAAAAAAAGTTCGGCAAAAGGCGGGATCGAACCCGGGTCGATCGCGTCAAAAAGCCAATGACACGCGCTTATCCATCTGCGCCACTGGTTGATGATTTACAGCCACTTTTAACTCAATGTAAATAGACACCCCGTATTTTTTATTCTATAGTAAGGGCAATTCATACAATACATTTAAACTGAGCTACTTTAATACCATCTCCGAACTTTCTACCACGACTCTGCTGTTCTTCGGCTGGTTCTTCCCTGTATACGTTGATTGACAGATGTCTCGTCCAGTCAGCGGTGAGTAATCCAAACCAATGGCGCTGTCTCAAACTATATCTACCTCTTCCGGTTTGTCTGATTTGTCTTTGTGTTTTCTGACTTGTTATTTTGTTTTCGAATTTGTCATTTTCTGACTTGTTATAATGTTTTCTGAATTGTTGTTGTGCTTTCTGAATTGTTATTTTGTTTTTTAGACTTGCATTTGCGTTTGTAATTTGTTATTTTGTTTTCAGAATTGTGATTTGTTTTGCACTTCTCGGTCACCGTAATATAGCCTAATAGTTACAGTTGCATTACTTAAATCTCACAACTCTTTACCGGTTTATCGTTTCTAGTAGGCCTGTATCACTCAAGCAGTGTCAATTAAATTAAATTTTTTTTTGCAAGGATTTCTATGAGATCAGGCTGAAATAATGCATTCCTCTGATTCCAATATTAAAAACAGAACAGGACATTAGGTTTCCAAAAATGTTCCACACACAGTTTGGTTCTTGGCTTGGAGATTGTGGTGTGGAGGTCTGGAGAAGATTAAGGGTGGAACTGTATGATTTGGTGAAAACAGAGCCAAAAATAAGCACATGTGGGAGGTTGTTTGTTACTTTTGGTTCTAATTTCAGTTTCTGATTATCCGGTTATAGTTTTCTCAAGACCCTTTCAAAATAAAGGTTCCAAAAAGTGTTTTCCACAGCGATGCCATAAAACACTTTGGCCATTTTTGGTTCTCCAAAGAAACTTTCAGAAAACGGCTCTTAAATGAACCCTTTTTTCTAAAACATTTTAATCTAAAGAACCTTTTTCCACTATAAACAACCTTTTGTGCAATTGAAAGGTTCATAGGATGTTAAGGTTCTTCATGGAACCAAAGATACCAATAAAAAAAAAATACTTTTTTTACCCTCTGGTGTGTCTTGCGTGGTGGTCAAAAATGGCAGAATTTTCTTTTTGAATAAAATTAATGTACTATGATTTAGTTCAATTTTTTTTATATTTTGTATTTTTTGGTGGATTGTATGGTACTAAATTCTATTTATGCAATAGTTATGGTCCATTTATTACCATTGACCATAATTACCACTTATTACCACAGACTTCAGTTCAGTCTCTTTTTTAAGGAGACACTTTAGCAGGCAGATTATTGCTGGAAGTTTGAAAAAAGTTGTAGAAGCTTAAGTTTATTATTATCAAAAATACACAAAAATATTATTTAAAATTTTATATGAAATGTATATTCTCCATGTT